TTTTCAGCGGCGGGGCGGGGCCAGGCGGAGCCCGAGAAGCCGGGCGGGGCGGGGCGCGAGACCGCCGGGCCGTGGCCAGACTCCAGGCCAGAGGCGGGACCAGCGGCCGCCGTCTCCGTCTCGGTGTCCCGTCCCCCACAGCGCCAGGCAGCCGCGCGGGAGAAGCGGAAACTGCCGGGTTCGCCGCGCGGACCGAGAGCGCGCCGAGGAGCAGCGGCGCGGCCTCTGTCCGGCCCAGACCCTCCGAGCGGAGCCCGGCGCCCCCTCCCCCGGAACCCCCAGACCGCGGCCCCGCCCCGGCCCCGCCCGAGCTTGCCGCGCGCCCCCGGACCGGCTCCCGCGACCCCAGCGCGCCCACCTGAGCCCGGCGGCGCCCACCTCAGCCCGTTCGCCGGCGCCATGGCGGAGCAGGAGAGCCTGGAGTTCGGCAAGGCGGACTTCGTGCTGATGGACACCGTCTCCATGCCCGAGTTCATGGCCAACCTCCGACTCAGGTGAGGGCGGAGCGGCCGGGCGCCCTGGCGCGAGCCTGCGCGTCCCCGAGAGGGGGCGCCCCCGCGGTGCGGCCGGGTTGTGGGTGCGGGGGCGCCCCGAGCTCAAGGGATGGAGTGCCACCGGAGCGGGGTATCCCGGGCTCGTGGCCGAGAAAGGACGCCCCGGGCGCGGCTGCCTCGGCGTGTAAGGGGCGTGCTGAGCTGGAGGGGGTGCCCCGGGTGCTGTCCGGACGCGGGGGCCGGTGCGGGTGGGAGGCGTGAGGGCTGTGCGGAGCTGCGGGCAGCGCTGGGGGCCGAGCAGGCGAGTGTGCTCCCCCAGGTAGGTGATGTGGGCGGGCCGGGTGACCTCATGGAAACAAAAGTAAAGGAAAGTAACTTTAGGGAGCGTCGCGGCGGCCCGAAGTCCTGGGAAGACTCGAGGTTGCTGAGAGGAGCTGGGGGCGCATCCCGGTTTCACACTTGCTGCTTTTCTTTCTCTCTTCCCTCCTCCTTCTCCTGCCCACTCTCCCCTCCCTGGCGTGGCTCCATCGCGTCGTGCAGGATGCTCTGGAGTGGTCCCTGAGCTGTCTGCTCCAGGACCCGGGCTATTTTTTATAGTTACTCTCGAAACGTAATTAGACACGTTTCCAGACATCGAAGAGACTGCTCGGCCTGCCAGTGCCAAGATAAACTGTCTGAATTTGACAAGGCGTTCATGGTTTCAGTTTTTTTTTTTTCTCAAGGAGTTATGGATGGGGCCCTTGTGTGATTGACATCCTTGAAAATGCAGTCCCAACTCAGCACCCCCAAATGAGCTTCCGAAGACGAATTTATTTTTAGAAAGTCGTCTTCATGTGATTCTTTCTCTTTTGATAGAAGAATATGTAAGCAGAGCTTTAAAGTAGTTTTTTTTTTTTTAACCATTACAGTAAATAGAGTTTCAAAATAACCGAGTTTTGGTCTGTGTGCGTTTCCTGGAGGTTCTGACCAGGCTTATGTTAAATATCACACCATGAGCTTAGGAAGTGAAAATCATAATCTAGGTTTTGGTGCTTAACTAACCCCACATCTCAGTATTAATTGCCCCTGCTGGTCTCCATTTAAATTTGAGAACCTTTTTTAACCTTGGCAGTTGCAAACCCCCATAGAGTCTTCATCTACTCCTGGCCAGATTTCCTTTGTCCCAGAGGATGGGGGGGTAGTTGGGGGGGTGGGGGGCGGGCACAGACCTAATTTTCTACACCTGTCTATTACAAACACACACACACCTGTGTGAGTTTCCTCATTTGTACAATAATGAGGACTTACAAGATTTTTCAGCGCTTAATTATATTCTCTTTTTGCTTTCATATATCAATTGGTTGCAGAGGTGTTTTTATTTATTTATTTTTATTGATTTCAGAGATGAAGGAAAAGGGAGGGAGAGAGAGAGAGAAACATCAGTGATGAGAGAGAATCATTGATTGGCTGCCTCCTGCACACCCCGTACTGGGGATCGAGCTCGCAACCCCGGGCATGTGCCCTGACCGGAAATCGAACCAGTGACCTCCTGGTTCACAGGTCGATGTTCAACCACTGAGGCACGCCAGCTGGGTGGTTGCGGGTTTTCTAAGTGGTTAGTGTGAGCCAAATTTAACTGTGTGCGCAGAAGAGAACTTTGCAGTTTAGTTCCACGTTTGTATAAGGCACCCTAGGAGATAGAGTGGGAGGATCCAAAGATCTACAAAATTTGCTCCACGCCCTGGCCGGTTTGGCTCAGTGAATAGAGCATCACCCAGTAGGGGGTGTGCAGGAGGCAGCTGATCGATGTTTCTCTCTCATCGATGTTTCTAACTCTCTATCCCTCTCCCTTCCTCTCTGTAAAAAAATCAATAAAATATATATTTTTAAAAAAATTTGCTCCACACCTCTCAGAGAGGGGTCCTGTTGATGAAGACAGGGAGAAAGGTGAAAATGGCTTTTGATTTAAGTAATAGGTGAAGAAAACAGCAGAAGAGCTAATTAATTAAGCCTTATAGAGCTTAGGTGATTCTTTGCTAAGTACTTGTACAAGCTAATTGTTCTGAAGAGGGAGATGCTTGAGGCTGGCTTAGAGCACCATATAGAGCAGGCATGTCAAACTCAAAGGCTAACATGGGCCAAATAAACAAGGTATGCAGCCCAGAGGTCACGAGTTTGACATGCTTGATATAGAGGATGAGAGAAGTTGTAAAGGACGCGTAGGATTTGTCTAGTACAGTGGTTCTCAACCTTGGCTGCACATTAGAATCACCTGGGAATCTTTTTAAAATCCTGATTTCTGGGCCTCATCCTCCAGAAATTCTGTTTCTTTGTTATCCGTCCAGCAGACAAAAGTCGGCAACAAGAAACAGAATTTCCCGCAGGAGGATTCTCCCCAAGCACGGTCCAGGTGATTCTTATGTGCAGTCTAAACATGTTACGGTGAAAAAAGTGTGGAGGCAGGAAAATCTACTGAGGGTGATAGTGAATATGTTATCTGGAGGGGAAGGAGTTGTGGGAGGAATCCCCCCAGCTGGAGGGGAAGGAGTTGTGGGAGGAATGCCCAGGGTTCCAGTTCTGCCTTCACTCTAGGTCACCCAGGGTTCCCAGGTCTGCCTTCAGACCTGCGCGCGCGCGCGCGCGCGCGCGCGCGCGCGTGTGTGTGTGTGTGTGTGTGTGTGTGTGTGTGTGTCTCATCTATGTGAGTACTTGACAACTCTTAGAATTGGCTGCAGTTCTCATCGTACAGATTCGGCGATTGTTCACGATTTACTTGTACGTTGCCAGCGGTTTGTTAACCGTAGCTGTAAACACAATCCCAGCAAAGGGGAGCAGCGCCCTTACCCTCCTCCCCAGCTGTGAACCCTGACGATCCAGGTGGAAAGCAGTCCTCTCTCTGGTAGTCTGAATTTCTTGTCACCCTGATACCCCTGCAGACTGTTTCAGTGTGTAGCTGCTTGAGCTCCTGGGACACTTGTCCTTTGCAGAAAGAGACCAGAAACCCACTGCAGGTACAGGTGCTCTTGTGTGAGGTTGTAGTGTTTTCATCTCCCAGGACATGGGTGGTTGGGCCATACCACGTGTATGTTTATGGCTGGATCCAGGCGAGATTTGAGATTATTTCATCTCTCTGTAATAAGTGTGCATGTGCCCCATCGTTCCTGTCTTCCCGACCTGGGCTTCTCTCACTCCGGTGGAATGTCCTGTCCCCTGCTCCCCACCTGGCTTCTGCGAGGCCCTCTTTAGGATGTTTGGTCTGTGACGTACAGAGAGGCCCCCCAGGCTGCAATTGTTTCAGGGGGCCTGTGTCATCCGAACTCGATTTTAATTTTTCCAACAGCAGCACCCAGCACACTGGTGGGCACATTCTGTGACAGTGTTTTTCATCTAGAGAAAAAAACATGAATGTTTCACTTTCCTTTTTTGACCCTTTTATGACATTGTCCATTTAGAGTTATCTTCTTATTTTGCTACCGCGCTGGCCTTTTCTTTTCCTGTTGGAACTAACGCTTGACTTTTAGACATCCGCTACAATTGATGCAACTTTCCCCTTAGTGTTTCTATTTTTAAAAATTGACGTAGGTGTGTGTCTGTGCATGTGAGTCTGCAGGAGGTAAGATGGAAGGGTGATGTGGATTCGTGCGAGTCAGTTCCTATATCAGAGGAGTTTCAATTTTTATATTTTACCCTTATGCCCCAAACTGCCAGTAGCTCGAGGGCCGCCGCCTTTCCCTGCTAGAAGTCTCTTGCTAGGGGAGGTTTGTTCTGTTTGATTTTACTCTCCATGGAGGTGGAGGTGGAGGTGGTTTTGGCTTCCATGGTAAGCTCCTCACTTCATTTTCAAGGGTCTGTGCCCAGGAGCAAGATTCCTCCCCAGGTACCTCCTGCCTTCACGGTCAGGGATGGCTCCTGCCAGCAACCCTCATGACCACTGGAAGCCCTGGCCGTGGCTTCCCCACCATATTCTGCTTTCCTCGGAGCCACTCCCTTTCTGGACCCGAAGCCCCCTTTGCATGGGCCGTTCCTGTCCTGTAGTTTTCCCAGCATTCACAGCAGCGTTGCACCCTCTCTCCACGTGAGCGTCCCGCCAGGGCGAGCCACACAGAACAACCCTGCTCCTCACTCCTCACTCAGCCGCCCGTGAGGGGAAGAATGCGGACTGCTGCTCTGGAGTGGCCTGGAGCCGAGCACAGGGTCCCCGAGAGCCCTGCTTCTCATGGCACAGGATGAGGAATACACCTTAGGCTCCCAGGAGGCCCGTTTCCTAACTTTGTTGGTGGTGGTTTCTGTTTAGGAATAAGGGATCGGCTCAGCCTTCTATCTTGGCTCCTTGGAAATTTAATGTTTCCTCCCCTCTCTTCTTATTGACTTTTCTCTGCCATAAAAGCGGTCATTTACAGCACTCTGTTTGCCAAAGCTGCAGGCAACGTCTCACTTTTGAGCTAACACACACTGTCTTTTATACCTTAGCTTGGACCAGGGTGTCTCAGCCTTGGCACTATTGGCCTTTGGAGACTGCTTTGTTGTGGGGGGGCTGTCCTGGGCACTGGAGGATGTTAGCAGCATCCTTGGCCTCTATCCCCCAGACGCCAGTAGTACCCCTCCCCTCCCATTTATACCACCAGATGTCTCCAGATATTGCTAAATACCCGTTGGGGCGAGGGGACATAGTCCCCATTGGAGAGCCACAGGCCTGGGCTGTTCTCAGTCTCTCGGAATGTTCTCCTTCCCTCGACTCTACCCTCCCTGCCTGTCACACTCTTACTCATTCTTAGAGACCAGTTCTGAGACGTCTCTCCCAGTCCTCCACGTCAGGGTTTGTTTCACTCTTACCTGTGCGCCCAGGGTACGTGGACACTTGGTCCTGCTGTTAGAATGTATCGTAGGATGATGTTGTTCTCCGCACGCCTGCCTGCCCACCAGATTTCGAGCTCTTCGAAGACAGAGAGCCTGCCCAGAGGTGGGTCCGGGCCTTGTGGTCCTTTGAAACTCCTTACAGTTGAGGAGGTGGGGAGCCATCT